AATTCATCACTCACTGTTTCTATTTGTTTATGGAGTTTTGTGATACTATGATGTTTTTATATAGTGAAATGGGTTACTCTTTTCTTCTGTGGTTACTGTCTCTGGTTTTGTGCTTAGAAAGTCCTTTCCCACTTGAAAATGAGATAAATGTTCACCTGTGTTGGCTTCTAGTCTCTTCTATGGCTTCATTTTTTCCATTTGCTGTGGAGGTTAAGAGTGTGGGTACTGGAGTCAGACTGTCTGGGACAAACCCAACCTCACCCCAAGCCATCTGTGTGATTTTTAGCCAGGCATTTGACTTGTCTGTACGTTCATTTCCTCACATGTAGTGTGATGATTATAGTAGCACCTACCTCAAAGAGTTGTTGTGAGGATTAAATGTACTAACCACGTTAAGTGCTTAGCATAGGGCCTGACATACAAGAAGCCCAAGAGCACTACTGGATATTCTTATTTATCTCTTTAATAGATCTGGAATGTGTTTCAGGGTATATGATGATTGGTGACATTTCAAACTGGGCAGAGAGGAATTGGTGGGAAAATGGACTGATTGTTCATTTACTAACTTTATTTTTCCCTTAATGTTCCCAGAAGCATTTGTCAAATAGTATATCCTCCACCATCTCCCAGGTTCAAATGCCACATTCATCACGAACTCACTTCTCTCTAGACGTTGGTCTGTGACTGAGCTTTCTGTTTTGTTCTGTTCCTCAGTGTCTGAGCCATACCGCTTTGCTGACAGTTGCTTTGTAGTACAATACATTCCCTGACCACAGTCCCCCCCCGCCCCGCAGCAGCTTGCCCTTCACTTTTCCTTGTTATTTGACACAGCCTCAGTTCCTCTAGCCAGAGATCAACAGCTGTTCTTGTTTGAGGCATCCATCTCTCTCTCTCTCTCTGTTTCCCTCTGTCTCTCTATCTCTGTCTCTATTCGGGGCATCTCTCACTCTCTCCATCTCCCTGTGCTGTTCTCTTACTCTTTTTGTTTCTCACACCCTCTCTCTCCCTCCTTGTGTATACTTCTAGGACTTTCTGCTCCTTTGAGTTCCTCTCCCCTCCATTCTCTCTCTCTCTCATTCTCTCTCAGCATCTCTCACTCTCTGTGTATCTCTGTCCCACCTCACGTTTCTCCCATCTCTCTGTATCTCTTGTTCTCTGGGTCTTTGTGTTCCCCTGTGTCTATCTGTCTGTCTCTCTCTGTTTCTGTCTCTTTGTCTCTGTGTATCCCTGTCTCTCAGCCAGTCCCCTGGATGGAGGGGCAGTTGCCGACTTGACGCCCTGCAGACACATAACAGGTCACCCAGACACAAAGTGGAAGGGCCCTGGCCCTCATCTCCTCCCTGCCTCTCTGCCCAGTGTACACAGGAGCAAAACCTGAGGCCTGGAGATGGGCCGGAGGGCCTCTCCCAAGGCCTCCCAGGGATGGAGTAGCAAAGTTGAGACCCAAGTTCAGACCATGGGACTCTTGGCGGGACCCCGGTTCTGTCTCTCTCCCCCACTGTGGGCCTCCGTTTACTTCTCAGCACCCATGAGGGGAGGAGGGGGACCTGAGCTGCCCCCCACCACCAGCTGCTGTCATTCCCCCTCCTGCCTTCTTACAACTTGGATCCTTACTCCGGCAGGAGGCTCTGTGGCCACATGGGCCAGTGTGGGTCCCAACCTCCCAAGAGCTAGTCTGGGTGGGGTCCCAGGGTCCCATGGGTCAGAAGGCCTTGTGGCCAGAGGGTAGTGATACTGGAAGGATAAGTCAATCAGTCTTGAAGGATGATATGCAGTGGATAGAGTTCAACCATGTCCCCAGAATTGGCACTGGTCCTGGCAACGTCTATCCTTGGGCCCCTCCAGAGAGCTTGGCAGCGGGCTCTCTACCGGCCAAGGCTCTTCCTGTTCCCCACCATGAGGCCCTAGCCAGAGGCATGCTGCCCTCTACCTTTCCCTCTTTCCCTCCCCATCTCTTGTGGAATGGCTGGGAGTATGGGAACATTGTCCCGGAATGAACAGGGAGACTGAGGCCCCGTAGGTGTTCATTTACCATCACTGACATTTTGTTAAGCATTTCATGTGCATTAACTCTGGACAAGAGGTACGATTACTGTCCCAGTTTACATACGAGCCCGCGGAGAGTTATAGCTAGTTAGTGACAGAGCCCAGCCCCAGGCTGAGGGGAGTAGAGGAGATGATTCTGACCCTCCTGCTGTCACAGAACTTAGGAGGGAAGCTAAGAGGAGGCTTGCTACAAGTCTAAGCCTGGTGGGCCAGAGGCCCTGTGGGGTAATGAGCTGCCTGTCCTTCAGGGAGTTCCAGTGAGTTTGGACACCATTGACATTGGCCTTCCCCTTCTGTGAAGTTGGACCCATGGACCCCACAGAGTGGGTTTGAGACTCTGGGATCCTTTGAACCTAAGAAATGATGTTTTATGATTCTGAGGTTCTGGCATAGTACCATTTGAAGACCCCCAGGGTCCCAGTAGCTGTAGGATCTGCATGGTACTCCCCAAGCATCAAACCTTCGGCCTCTCCATGGCCCAAGTCTACAGGGCCCAGGACTTGTCATGGTGGCCAGATGGACGTCACTCACCACATCCGCAAGCACCCACATCACTCCCACCTGGGCTGAGACGGCTGCAGGATGGGCCAGCCAGTTCTCGGAACGAAACCCGTGGGGTGGGGTATCTGCTTCTCCTTGGTGCCGATGAAGCCCAGCGCATCCGGCCGCCGTGACGTCAATGGCGGAAAATCTGGGGACGTGACAACAGGGCCCAGATGCAGACCCCGATATGAAAACACACTCTGTGTCCCAGAAACATCCTCCATGCAGCTTCTGAGAAACAGTCAGAAAGGGACGCCCCGACAGACAGTGCAGGAAGCTGGCTGCCCAGCCCGGCCCTCCAGGTTCCCCACCACCAGACAGACCATATCTATGTCCCCTTTCTGAGAATGTACCTGTGCTTCCCTGCAGCTGGACATTCCAGATGTGCTTGAGGAAGAGATTTCTTATAAGCCCCAGCCAAGTGTCCCGGCAGCTTCAGAAGTGACCACGGGCCAGCCGTGTGGGCCAGGCCAGAGTGGTGGAGACCAAAGTCGGTATTCATTTACTCAGGCTTCTGTAACAAATTACCACAAGCTGGGGGCGGCGGGGAGGGGGTGCTCAAACAGCAGAAATTTATTGTCTCACAGTTCTGGAGGCCAGAAGTCCGAGATCAAGGTGTCGACAGGGCTGGTTCCTTCTGAGGCTACGAGGGAGGATCTGTCCGTGCCTCCCTCCTAGCTACTGGTAGATTGCTGGCAGTCTTTGGCATGCCTTGGCTTCTAGAAGCCTCACCCCCAATCTCCGCCGTCATTCGTTTGCTCACCGCCTCGTGGTCACTGAGTTCTGAGCCTCCATAGATCCAGTCTCTTGCTTCTCACACAACAATGCTCTACGCCCCCCGGGGAGACTATGAGTTTAATACCTGGATTCTCACCCCCACCCCCATCCGCACCAGAGCTCTGACAGGCCCTGTGAGCTGACAGCAAAGAAAGGAAGGTGCAACTGCTCCCCGAAATCCTCCTTGTGCCAGTTTGGGCCGCTCTTGGCAGCTATGTGCCCAACCCAGTGCTGTGAGGTGGAGAGTCACACACACACACACACACACACACACACACTTTCTGGGGAAAGATAGGGAGCTCTCAAGTTGCCGTGGGACTGTGGAACGCTGCACCTGGGTGTTCCCTTCAGTAAAATGGTGGCTGGACTAGGCAGTCCCTTCCAGCTCCGGCTTCCTCTTCTTAGACTGGGATTCTGAGAAACGGAAGCCCTGCCTGTCGCAGAGTGTTCAGTTCTGGGGCTCAGCAAAGGAGCCTGGAGCCATTACGGAGGACTTTCTGGATAGGGCCCGGATAGGGGATACGGAGGAAGAGCAGACATTCCAGGCAGGGCCATATAGCCTGAGCGCAGGCTTGGAGAGCAGACTTGGGGTAAACTCTGGCGGGGGCTGAGTCAAGATGCTCCCACGGGCCCTGGCTCAAGAGAGCCCATCCCTCCTTCCCGACACCTGCCATGTCAGCTTCGTGCAAGGCAGGAGCCCAGAGATGATCAGACCTTGCCCCTGCCCGAGCTCCAGAGACTCCTGTACTCCGCTGCCCACTCAGGATTTCCACTCGCGTGTCTAACGCCAGACTCTTCGTGTCCATCCACACCTGCATCGTCACCCCCAACCTTGCTCCCCTTCAGCTCAGGTGATGTCCACTCTGTCCTTTCAGCCTGCTCAGGCAAACACCGGGCCAGAGGTCACCTTGACCATTCCCCTCTCGCCACCCCCGACCCCATGCAAGCTGCGAGCAAATCCTCCTGCCTCCACCTTCAAAGCACACTCAGGATCCGCCGACTTCTCATCATCTCCACTGCCACCATCCTGGTCTGTGCCACAGTTGTCACTTGCCTGGACTGTCACGGCAGCCTCCTCGCCAGTACCCCTGCTGTCACCTTCCTGGGGTCTGTCCCTCTCCCCGCAGCCAGAGGGACCTTGAGTCCATGCCCCCCTCCACCCTTGTATATGCCAGGTCACTGGGATGAGATAATGCCACCAGGAGAGTCAGACACCAGTCCCAGCAGCATCAGCAAAGGCTGTGGCCTGTGCAGAGTGCAGGGAGGACCAGGGGGCTGAGGCTTGGAGACAAGCCCTAAGCGGTTGGGGGCAAAAAAAAACTGAGACCTGCCCGTGGCTGAGACCCCACACACGACCCCAATCCCCCACCTCCCTCTTGGAGGACACATCACCACCAGGGCTCTGCCAGCACACACTGGCACGCTGAGTGCTGGACCTGGGCACGTCTGCACATGGGATGTGTGCAGAGACACGCGCACACCTATGTTCCTGACACCGATGGATGCGTGGGTGTGTGCCACACGTACACCTGATCAGAGCTGGGGTCCAGCCGTGGAGCCCTTGGGGACAGGCCCCCACCGATGCCTGCTCTGACTAGAGTTGGGGGGGGGTCCACATGGTTCAGGCGGTTGAGCAGTTCACACCCCCGCTGGGCACACGTGTAACTCCTTCCCCCTGTGTCCCCACAGCCTGCCCTCGGACAAGGACCCAATGCCCAACCCCAGGCCAGCCAAGCCCTCGGCCCCTTCCTTGGTGCTTGGCCCATCCCCGGGAGCCTCGCCCAGCTGGAGGGCTGCACCCAAGGCTTCAGACCTGCTTGGGGCCAAGGGCCCAGGGGCAACCTTCCAGGGCCGGGACCTCCGAGGTGGGGCCCATGCCCCCTCCTCCTCCTCTTTGAACCCCATGCCACCATCACAGCTGCAGGTGAGGCCCAGGGCCCAGGATGGGGCAGGCAGGGTGGGGTACCTGGGCCTACAGGTGCCGACCTTTACTGTGGCACGGGGCGGGGGGCCCAGCTGGGGCACAGGAAGTGGTTTTCTGGGTCCCAGGCAAGTCTGTGACTTATGCAGATGTCACAGGGCCAAGAAAGTCCCCGGTTAGCAGGTCTCAGAGATTCGAGGCTCTCCCCGACCTCCCAATCCCGGCCTCAGGAGAGGAGCTCCTATCACGGTCCCACAGGCGTGGCCGTGTGTCCCCATCCCCGTGTGACAGGGGAGAGGGCTGGTGCCCAAAGAGGGGAGGTGACACGGTTGAGGCCAGCTCTGCCACTTATTAGCTGTTTGATCTTGAAAAAGTCATTCGCTCTCCCCGAGCCTCAGTTTCCACATATGTAAAACGGGGATGATCAGAGTACCTACCGTGTGGGGTTGTGGTGAGAAGTGTATGAACTAGACATGTAGAACAGTGAGGAGAAGGATGCCATCTCACCCGCCTGCCTTCTCTACCCCCCCCAGCTGCCCACGGTGCCCCTAGTCATGGTGGCACCCTCTGGGGCACGGCTGGGCCCCTCACCCCACTTGCAGGCACTCCTCCAGGACAGGCCGCACTTCATGCACCAGGTACTGACCCGGAATGGGCAGGGCGGCGGCAGCAGGTGGGAGAACTGGGCGGGGGGGGGGCGGGGAACAGGCTGATCCACAGCCCCCGTGTGCCCCCAGCTCTCAGCGGTGGATACCCACGCTCGGACCCCCGTGCTGCAGGTACGCCCACTGGACAGCCCAGCTATGATCAGCCTGCCGCCACCCACTGCTGCCACCAGCGTCTTCTCCCTCAAGGCCCGGCCCGGCCTGCCACCTGGTAACACCCCACCCCACAGCTCTACAGAACCCCGAGCCCCCCAGTGCTTGAGTGGGAGCCGCGTAGGCTGCTGAATGGCGGCCCTCGGGAGGTCAGATGCATCGGGTCTTACCATCTGGGAAACTCCAGCCTCCAAAAAATGTCAGGCTCAGAACCTTAAAGGTGCAGAATGAATGGCAAAAATCACAGAGCCGTGGGTCTTTGCAGTCAAAATGTCAGCGCTTGCAAATGGCAGTCTTTGAGCTGCTCCCCCAGAAGCCTTGGATGTTAGGGCCGACAGAGCCCCCTGGGAGTCAGGGCCTTCGAGGCTCAGGACGGTGGGAAGCTCAAAGGGAGAGTCTCTGTGGGCTGAGCTTGAGGGCCCAGCCCACGGTCCCCAAAGGTGCCCTGTCCCCACCCGCAGGGATCAACGTGGCCAGCCTGGAGTGGGTGTCCAGGGAGCCAGCCTTACTCTGCACCTTCCCAAGCCCCGGCACACCCAGGAAAGACAGGTCAGTGGACCAGGCTGGGAAGGACCCTTGCCCTGCCGTTGCCTCCCCTTACACCCTCTGTCCCCCTAGCACCCTTTCGACCGTGCCCCAGGGCTCCTACTCGCTGTTGGCAAATGGTGTCTGCAAGTGGCCCGGCTGTGAGAAGGTCTTCGAGGAGCCAGAGGATTTCCTCAAGTGAGTGACCCAGGCCCAATCCAGTCCAGGAGGGTCCCCAGTGTGTGGGAGGAGGCCTGTGGTACAGGTCCCAGCTCAGGCCTCATCTCAGTAGGTAGTGACGAGGCAAAAGGCTAAGGCTAACACCGTAGGTTCAAATCCCGGTCTTATCGCTGGCTGTGTGGTCTTGGGCAAGTTACTTAGCTTCTCTGGGCCTTGGTTTCCTCATCCGTGTAATGGGGCATCATAAGAGAGGTGTATATTAGTACCTACCTCCATTTTACAGATACAGAAACTGAGGCCATAAAAAGTTAAGTGTCTTGATCAAGATCACCCAGTTCCTAAGTCACAGAGCTGGGATTTGAATCCAGGCAGCCAGGCTCCAGAATCCACACTCCTAACTGCTTTGCCCTGCTACCCTACCCCTCCTGCCAACACACCAGCCTGATTTTATTGATCCCCAGAGTCCCCGATTGTCACAGTGGCTCTTGCTGCCTCCTCTCGGTCCCACCGCATGCACATGCGCACAAACACACACACGCACACACATCCCTTCTCCAACCATACCCAACTATCAGTGGCAACTCTGCACCCTGTCCTCTTCACGACCATGACTTTACACAGGCTGTCCCCTCCACCTGGAGAGCCTCTCCTGCCCTCGCCTACCTCACCCCCACCTCTCAGCCCACCAGCCTTCCAACATCATCTCCAGCACCCCGGCCAGGCTCCAGTGGCGAGCTCAGGCCTGGCACCAGGAGATGCCAAGTAGCGTGTGTTGAAGGAAGAGCGGGTGTAAGAGGGAGACTTGAGGTAGAGAGAGGGGAGGGAGGCTGAGCCTCTGAGGAGAGACCTCCCGAACGGTCTGGCCCTCCTCACTCGGAGTGTTGAGCCAGGAGGCCAGACCCACCGTGGTCACCCACATGGAATCTCCCCCTACCCAGGCACTGCCAGGCGGACCATCTCCTAGATGAGAAGGGCAGGGCACAGTGTCTCCTCCAGAGGGAGGTGGTGCAGTCTCTGGAACAGCAGGTGACGTAGGAGAGGGGTGGTTGGGGGATGATGGGCGAGCCTTACATCCACCCTGTGCCAGGAGCCAAGCTCACCCAGGATGGCGGCTGGCATAAAGGAAGGGAGGGGGTAGGGCACTCCCAGGGAGAACCACAGCCTGAGCAAGGATGTGGCAGAGAAAGGCCAAGTTGAGGCCTCACTTTGTGCCCCGTCCTCACAGCTGGTGCTGGAGAAGGAGAAGCTGGGCGCTATGCAGGCCCACCTGGCTGGGAAGATGGCCCTGACCAAAGCTCCAACCACGGTGAGCCACCCCAGGCCCACAGGCGGCACAGGCGGCACAGGCGGCTGGAGGGGGGTGGAGGGGACTTACCCTCACACCCACGCCCTGACTCTGGGCCCCTGTCCCCAGCTCCAAACATGCCCAGACCTGGAAACCTGTCCCCTCCGGTTACAAACCCTCTGACCCCAAAATCCCGAAACATCATGATCTTGGGTTTTCAAAGCAACGGCAAATCACCAAGCATCTACTGGACACAGACCCTGTGCCACTGGTGGGACTGGTCATACGACATGCAGGAACCAGCGCACAATAAAATCACGGGGCCCAGGTTTCAAGATGACCCCCACAGGGCAGTAAACAAAGGGCAGGGACCTGTGTGATTACACAGGCCACACATCGGTGAAGCTGGCCCCAGGGGCCAGGCACCGTTCCTGAGCGAGCTGCTGGGGTTAGTTTATCAAATCCTCATGAGGCCACTCACGATAGGTATTAATTACTAGCATCCCTAAGGTGTAGGAGCCTGATTCAGCCCCAGCTCATGGCCCCAGCATTGCGCCTCTCCATACAGACAGACAGACACACACACACACACACAGATTCAGCCCCAGCATTGCGCCTCTCCACGCACACAGGCGCACGTCCACACTCACGCTCTAATAAGTACGGCTCAGTGCTGCTTTGTGAGATTCCACATCAGACCGGACTTGAGAAGAGAGCTCACTTGCTTTAAAAACAAACCAACCAACCACACTTATTTAAAATTGAAGTGGAAAAGTGTAAGCCTCTGAATCACCCGCCTTTCCCTCCCCCTGCAGGCATCATCTGACAAGGGCTCCTGCTGCATCGTAGCTGCAGGTACTCCGGTAACCCCTGGCCCAGCCTGGCCCAGCCCCCAGGAGGCCCCCGACGGCCTGTTTGCCGTGAGGAGGCACCTCTGGGGTAGCCATGGAAACAGCACGTTCCCAGGTAAGCATGGGGGCCCGTACCCCTACGTGGTGCCCCCGTCCCCCTGAGCCCCTCATCCCCCTGACTGGAACCAGGTGGGAGACAGCCAGTACCGACCCTCCCCAGCACTGCCACCCAGCCTTTGGGAAAACATAACTGCTTGCAGAAGCTGCCTTTCAGCGTTTCCAAGGCCTGCAAGCCCCCTGCACCGCCACCGCCCCCCGCCCCCCACCCCCCGGCCATTGTGGTTCCTCCTGTCTAGCCCCATCTCCCCTGGGGCCGGGGGCTCACTCATTCCGGGCTTCAGCTACTCCATTCGGTCGTCAGAAGGGAGAGAACTAGCTAAGCGCTTCCCAGGGACTCTCCCTTCCCCCTCCAAGGAAAAGCGGGGTGATTCTCCCAAGCTCACGCATCCTGGGCTGCCCGCAAGGCCTGGGCTGTGGGCTTAAGACGGATCAGGGCCCCTGAGTGTCAACCTGCCTCTGCCACTTGGCCGCTTGCATCCCTTTGGTGTGCAAGTTACTTCACTTCTTTTAAACTTCGGGGACGATGAGGCCCGTTTTGGTGGCAGTGGTGCAAGCAGATGATACGGTCGATGCCCAGCGCTCAGCACAGTAACCGTGAGGGTGAAAACTGGTGTTGTCAGGGAGGGATTTCCGCTGGGTAGCCTCTCCTTGTAGCGTGGGGGATGGGAGAGGGAACTAGGAGCTCCAGGACGGACCGATCCTCCCCTACCCCGTACAGAGTTCTTCCACAACATGGACTACTTCAAGTTCCACAACATGCGGCCCCCCTTCACCTACGCCACCCTCATCCGCTGGGTAAGCCGGCAGCGTGGGCTGAGGAAAAGGAAAAGAAATGGAGGGTGGGCACTTGCCTCCCACATTCCCAGCCTCCTTCTGAGCGCCCCCAGAACAGGCTCCTTCATGAACCCAGGGCTCCGATTGGATCCCCCCCCCGAAGCCGGCTTCTCTCCAGACCTGCCCCCCCCAACCCAAACAGAAACCACTATCCAGGCCAGTGCGAGTCAAATTCTGGCCCTCAACCCACCCCCCTTCCCTGATGCCCACCTCGACCCCATACTGAACCCCCTCCCAGATCTGTAAAATAGCCCCCAGATTAACCTGATCTTTGCCCCTTGCCCTAAACCCACCGCAGAACTATCCTAACTCCTTCCCTGGCCCCCATATGCCCCAATACACCAACACATCCCTCGGCCTGACCCTGCCTCTAACCCCTTCCTTGTGACACCTATCTGACCCTTGGCCTCACCCCATCCCAACCCCTTCACCTGAATCTCCCTAATGTCTGCCCAGAACTTTCATCAGAGCCTGCCCAGACCTTCACCCTAGGCCCACACCTAACCCCTACACAACACCACGCATTCCCCTGCCTAGCCCCATCCTGACCCAGAACCTCACTGCAGCCATAATCTCTGACCCTTTGCTTAACCCCACTCCTAAATCCAAACAGATCCAATTCCCTGACCTTTAGCCTCACTCCACACCTAACACAAGCCCTGACCCTTAACGACCACACACATCCAACCTTATTCTTGACCTTGAATCTAACCACATGCCTGACACAGAAAATAACGGTATCACTAGGTCCGCCTCTTGATTCCTGACTCTAATGCCATCCCATCCCTCAGCCCTCTACTCGCCCCGGTCCATCCCCAGCCAGACCCTTAACCAACCCCTTCCCTGATGACCTTTAACTCTGCCTGGCCCTTTACCCCTCCCACATCCTTAACTTGACCCTACTCCTGGCCTTCAACCTTCCCAAACCCTGACACCTTGCCCCTGTGGAGGCGGTCAGCTCCAACTCCATCCCAGACCTTTAACCTAATCCTGGCCCTACCCTGAACCAGACCCTACTGCAACCTCAGCCCTGACCCTCCACCTCACCCGATTTCTAACCCTGTCTCTGACCTATCACCTCACACCGTCTCCCTCCCTCCCTTCCCCTGCCCCCCCCCCCAGTTCCACCCATGTCAGACACCCAGGGTGGGCCACTGCCACTCTCAGCCCAGCTTTGGGGAAGGGACTCCCTGACCCCCTGACCCCCTAACCTCCAGGCCATCCTAGAGGCTCCCGAGAAGCAGCGGACACTCAACGAGATCTACCACTGGTTCACACGCATGTTTGCCTTCTTCAGGAACCACCCTGCCACCTGGAAGGTAGGCTCCTCTGGAAGTGGCAGTGGCTGGGAGGGCCTCCAATGCCACTGGGGTGCTGGACCAAGCTCAGGAGTGGGGGGGGGGGGCTTGTAGACATGTCGGGAAGGGGCGGGAGGCCGGTTTGGGGTGGGTCCTGCTGACCTCAGAGAGTGACTGCCTACCCATTCCCCCTGCCCCCCCGGCCTGGTGGGCCTTCCTTCCGCAGAACGCCATCCGCCACAACCTGAGCCTGCACAAGTGCTTCGTGCGGGTGGAAAGTGAGAAGGGGGCCGTGTGGACCGTGGATGAGTTCGAGTTCCGCAAGAAGAGGAGCCAGAGGCCCAGCAGGAGTGCCAACCCCACACCCGGCCCCTAACCTCAAAACCAAGGAAGGGAGGAAGGAAGGACAGGGGCCGAAATGGGGGGTGGAAGCGGCCAGGGGCAGGGGTGACGGGCCCTGGACGTGCCCACAGGGACCAAGAAGTGAGGTGTGCACGGTCTTGCCTGCCAGGGACCCTGATCCTCAGCTGACCACCCTTCTAGATCGTATGCTCTGCACCAAGGCTGCTCAGAGGGGCCCTGGCCCCCCAGCCCACCTTCCTGCAACAAGCTCTTTAGCCAAACTGAGCCTTCACAACCAACCACACACACAGCCTGCCTCAGTCGCTCTCACAGATGATCTCAGGGCTGGAAAAGACACACCCACAGTCACAACCCTGTCCCTTGGACACAGTACAAAGAGCCTGCCTCAGTACCCTCGGGCAACCTCAACTCTGCAGTCTCGTAGACAATCATACCTGAGCACAGTCCTGTCAACCCACACACCCCAAAGCACACACCCACGGCCATCCCAACCCTCCCCCGGCCCTCCCCTGCGCTGTCACACGGGGCATGCCCAGGGCCCCACCCAGAAGCAGCCTTGGTACCTTCAGGATCTCACGTCCCAAAGAGCCACACAAACACACCCCAGTCGTGCACATTCTCACGCAGCCCCCAAAACATCAGCTTGCTCATGCAGCCCACAAGAACACGCCTGTGCATCTCATGTCGTGCACACGCACTTGGCACCCCAGCGGGTCTCCGGAGTCCCACGTGGGCTTTCACAGCCACACACACGGAATCGCCGAATAGATCCCATGTCTCACCTGCCGCCCGCCGCACCTTCCCGGCCCTGAACCCTGTGTCCCCATCCAGGCCTCAGCTTAGACTACAGACAGAGCCCCTCGTTTATTTGGGATCCAAGGTCCTAACCCCAGTGCCCTCTCCAATAAACTGCAGCCGAGTTCCCACGTTCTGGACGATCACCCCAGACCAGGGTTGGGGTCAGGTGGGCGGGGGTCTGGGGCCAAGGCCGTAGCAGGAGGAGCGCAGCCAACAGAGGGAACGGCTAGGGCAAGCGCTTGGCCATCGCCCCCAACATCCCAACTCCCTGCCCGAGGCCAGGTGCAGACTGGTGCTGGGGGCTCCTCAGGCCTCCCGGACCCGCCCCAGGAGGCCAGCGTTCTCCTGGCGAAGGGCTCGGTAGTCCTCGCGGATCTTCTCCAGGTTGCTGAGGGTCTTCTTCCCCATCTCCGTCTCAATCTAAGGCAACACGAATTGCACACCTTCTGTGTGCGGGGCCCCTGTCCCAGCTCCTGCTTACCACCCCATCTCCATTAAGGCCACTCGAGGTCCCTCCCGTGCTCCTCCCACCCTCCTCCCGCAACAGCGTGCTGGGCCCGACCACCGGGCCTTTGCATGTGTCATCTGTTCACCTAAAGCACCATTTGCTAACGTGGCAGCATGAGCCACCACATACTCTGGCTGCAGCCTCTGCCAATGGCCCAGGGAGGCAGGTGCGAGGACCTTCGGGGTGGAAGCTAGGGCTCAGAGGAGGCTGCTGGCCGGTGCCAGGTCACACACACAGCTACTATGGGGCAAGGCGGAGTCCAGCCGTAGGCTGTGTCTGCTCCCACAGCCTCTCTGGGCGTAAACCAAGGTGCTGTCCACTGGCCTGCCTTGGCTTCCCCTCCTATCTCCAGGCCTCACCTGCTCCTCAAGGTCTCGAACTTCCCGCATGATGGTGCCTGTATCCTCGATGGTCTGGATGAGCTGGCTGCAGTTCTGAGGACAGCAGGAGCAGAAGGCTGGCACCCCCACCACGCCCCACCCCGGCCAGCATCCCTCACGCCTCACTCACCTCGTGCAGGGCAGCTAGATACTTGTATGCCTTCCGAACGGCATCATCCTTCTTGGCATCCTGACCAGACAGAAGGGACCAGTGGGCTTCCCCCACGCCCCCCTCCCACATACCCCCTCCAGGACCCCCACAGGGCCACCCTCTCCCACTCCCCTGACTTCATCCTCCGTGGCGCACAGCCAGGCCCGAGCCGCAGTGGACCTACACGGCTTGCACCGGGCCGAGGCCCAAGCCAAGCTGTGAGCAGATAGGCAGGTGGGAGCCCAGCCCGCCCCCTGCCCCCTGCCCCCCGCCCCCCTCCCCCGACCCGGCCCAGCCAGGCCCACACCTTGAACACGAGCTCATCGGTCACAGCAAACGTCCGGTCCAGCTTCCCAGACAGGGAGTTGATTTCCTTCTGAAGCTCCTTTGTGTCTGACAAGATCTGGCAGAGAACAGGGCAACCATGAGCCCACGTGCGGCCCGGGCAGGCCGGCCGGCTGAGGGCAGAGTCGTGTGCACGCGCTCACACCCAGATGGGGCCTGCGTCACCGCATCAGCTGTGGCTGGAGTGGGCTGGGTAGGAGGGTTCTGTATTGGGGTGTGGCCAGACAGCTCTGCCTTTCAGAGGGTGTGAGGTCCCCGCGTGGCCGTGCTACACGCATCTGCCCCTCGCGCATGTCTGCCCGTCTGCCCCAACCCTCCACGGCCGCAGCGATGCACCTTAGTGATCTCTTCCTTCTGCTTCCGGATGTTGCCCACAATCTCCAGGATGCGCTGGGTATAGGCCAGCCGGGACACATCTCTAGGCAGGGTCTCCAGCTCTGACACCTAGACAGGAACACAGCAGACACTCCCCTGGGACCCAGCCCCCCGCCCCCTCGGACCTACCCGGGGCCCCTGCACAGGCTTTACCAGCTGCTTGTAGGCCTCCTCCTTCCTGCGGGCCTCTTCGGCAGCCGCTCGAACACTCTGGTGCAGCTCCTGGATCTCTGCCAGCCGTCGAGAAGATTCCAGCTGCCAGGACCCCATGGGCAGAGGGAGAGTGAGCAGAGCACAAAGATGGCCCCTCAGGGAGGGACCGAACCCGCCCCACCCACAGCCCAGGACCCCACAACCTACCTCTCTGCAATCCTGGAGCTTTCGGAGGTGGCGGTACTCAGCCAGGAGAGGGACCCGGTGCTTTTCCCACTGACCCGCCAAGTGGATGACCCGCTGGGCACTACTCTCCACCACGAGCTGGCGGGGGGGGTGGGTAGGGGATCCGTGTCACACAGGCTGGACCCTTCCAACTCTAGCCCTCCCACCCAGCCCCGGTGCCAGCCCCACCTGCAGCTTGGCCAGGTTGGCAGCCCCGTCAGGCAGGAGCTCCACCGCCCGGCTCTTCAAGCGCAGGGCCTGCTCACGCTCCGCCGTGCTGAGCTCGCTCTGCCGACGCTCCGTCTCCACCTGGCAGCCCATGACCCCCACTCCCGTCAGCGGAGGAGCCCAGCCACATACCACAGCCCTCTAGGCCCCACCGAGCCTGGAAAGCCCTGGCCTAGCCTGAGCCCCCACAGACAAGAACACACCCCTCTACCCTCTAGCAGCCCCTTGACCCCTCCTGATGGTGACAGAAACCTATAAGCAGCGACAGACACCCACAGGCCCCTCTGATCCCTCTACCTCCACAATGACCTCCCCCCGCCGCCGGAAGCCCTGACAAGGCCCACAAGCCCCTGCCCAGACAGGTCCATCATATGCCCACAGATGCTCACACCCCTCCTGATTCTCACAGACACCTGCATATCCTGACCGATGCCCACGGGTGCCCCTAACCCCCACAGGTCCGACTCCCCTGACCCTATATCCCCCTCTCACCCCACCCTCCTCAACCCTCGAGAGCCCACAGGTCCCCGAGGTCACCTCTGAACCCTTCTGACATCAGCAGACCTCCACGAAGTCCTCTCAGCCCCTTCAAGGCCCTCTAGGCCCTCTAGGCCCCACCGTGAGCCAAACCCAGGCGGGCAGCCCCTCCCCCACCTGCACGAGGTTGACTCCCAGGGTCTTCATGTTGGCTTCGACCTCTTCGATGCTGCGGTTCACTCCCTCCAGCTGTTCCCGAAGAGACTCCAGCTCCTTCTCTTGAGCCGCCCTTGTGTCCTGGGAGGCACAGGCCAGTAGGGGCGGGGGTGTCAGGCCCACTAGGCGGGGTAAGGGCCCAGAAGCCCCGCCACAGCTCGGCTTACCTGTTCAGGCCGCTGGGAGGTGGCCGGCACATCACACACCTGGGCTGCCTGGACCTCGGGCTCCTGGGGGAGTGAGACAGGGGTATCCTGGCCGTCGGAGAAGGCCCTCCCAGCCCAGCCTCAGCACCCGCTCCAAGCGCCCTTCCAGCACCACACTCCTGTCCACACAACTGCTGACAGCTGTCAGACGAGGTTTATGAGGACCCAGGCACTCTCTGAGACCTCAGGCTGGACTGTTTGCTCAGAAAGAAACCTCCCTGACCCTGACACGAGAAGGGGGCCCACGAGAAGGAGGAGGGCCCCTCTAGGTCAAGGACAGATGTGTCCGGGGGAAACTGTCCGAGGGAAGCTGGGGTGTGCACACAGAGCACCCCTCCCCCCTTCTCCACCGAAGCCCTTGAGGTGCCAGGGGACCCCCAGCACAGAGAGGGCAAGCCCAGTGGGAACACGGGAATCTCTGTGGATAAAGTGTGTCCTCTGCATACAGAGTGGCCCTATCGGCCCTCCCGGGTCCGCTCGGACCCACTCACCGGATGGAAGGTGAACTTCTCCGAGTGTGTGAAGCGGGAGCCCTTGGAAGCGCCGGTCCTGGCCCCTGCACCCCAGGCCTGCAGCAGCTCTCCCAGGTCTCGGGCTTGTGGGGGAGCCCCCGGTCGGCCCCAGGTCTGGCGTAGATGCTCAGCCAGGTGCTTCTGCAGCCGCTGCCGCTGGGCCCGTGTATCCTCCTGGATGCAGAAGGCGGGGCAGACGGGAGGGTGTCAAGGCCTGCTGGGCACCCGAGGCCCTGCCTCCTCCGGGGAGCTGCCTGACAAAGGGCTACCAGCCAGTCTCCTCTCCTGACCCACCAGTCTGGGAGCTCCCCAAGGACGGGGTCCCCCCCACAGCCATGCTTCTCTCCACCCACTCGCTCCCCACACCCGCAGTAAATCAGCAGCCTCCAAATCTGAGGGTGACACGGAAAGGCTATGTGGGGACAGAGCAGAGACAGAGAGTCACAGGTGCGGGGCAAAGAAGCAGTGGAAGCAGAGTAGAATCGAGAGAGAGAACTAACAGAACCAGTTTCAGGACAACTGGGGAAATCTGATTATGAAATCAGTGAGTGCTGGTATTAAGGTGTTAATGTTATTA